TCGCTTTGAAAACACATTATATAAAGGCACTGTAGTACAAGGTGCTTTGAGCAGCACGTTTATTCACTGGTGCGTAGGCATTGTTTGAAAAGCATCATTTAGAGGCAGAGCTGCAGAGATTACTTCTGTCTCTCACTAAATAAAGGATTAGTACTTTATTTACTGAAAGAGACAGATGTCTGTCAGAATTTTTGATATGCAGTATTCCCCAAAATGTAATGAACTTCGCAGATCTTGTTTCTATTTACTGAGGAGCTTCTCTATTTTCTTGATAAATGTGAAATGGAAGAAGGGAGAATATTATCATTTCATAACAATACAAATTAGTAAAACATGAAGTGTTGAGCAAAATTCTGATTCCAGTGTTAGGAGAAATGTGTTCCTCGGTCAACCAAAGTGCAGCCCATTCTTCTCTGACATTTTTAATCTTCTCTTGAGCGATGTTTTAATCTCCGTTGTCAGGGGATGAGAACGCAGAGCAGTGTGTCATCCGGCGTCTTTTTTTTGAAAGGACCGTAATTCTTTGTGTTCACTGCCCAGAAGCATAACGCATACTGGTCAAGTTCTTTCCATGTGCTGGGCACCAGAGATAAAGAAAATATTGTGCCTTATCAATGATCAATGAGTAAAATCAAAAGTTGGATTTGAACCCCAAGTCTTCCGCTTAATAATCATAGAGCTGTCCTCTTTGTGTCTCAGTTTCCACATTTGCAAATCTGAAATAATGAGAGGGTCTACCTCATAAGATGCCTGTGATGTTTAAGTATCACTAGTATTATATACAAAACCACAATGTTTATGGAATTTTTTTTGTTTTGTTTTGTTTTGTTTTGTTGTTTTTTGTTTTGTTTTTCTCCGGTACCGGGAACCGAACTCACAACCTTGCGCTTGCCAGGCAGGCGCTTTTGTTTATGGAATATTATAACAGATTCAGGGCCATTTCCAAGGAGATTCCATGTACTTTATGTATTGCTTCTTCAGTATTCATCCTCATGTACTGGGTGACAGACAGGAAATAGATAACAGGAATACAACCATAAAAATGTGTTGCGCTGAATTCACACGTTGGCGAGTATCATTCTAGACAAATACAGGTCTTTGCTCCCTGCTGGTGTGGGCCTTGGGCATGTCCTTTGACTTTTTCAGTTGTTAATACATCATCTCTGATGGAAATAATAAATACCATCTGACAATATTGTTTAAAGAATTAAATCAGCTGATTCATATGAAAACATTTTGTTAAGTTACAGTGTAGGCGCTCAAATGTAAAGTATCATGGTGAACTTTTGATTATTTACTTGTTAGTGACTTTGTGGGTTTTCTACAAGCCAGTTTTTATCCCAGGACTCATTTTTTATTACCTACTTATTTTACCTTTCTGCCTGATCCTGAATTGCTCATTTACCCTGTGGCAAGGGTACCCAAATGTATTTTAACAAACTAAGCTGAATTTTCCTAAGAATGTAATTGTTAATACCATAAGATTTTCATGAAAAAATATTTGCTTATAAATTCTTTTATAGCCATCTTATGTCCCTCATAAATATCTTTTAATTTAGAGGTTATGAAATATGGATGCATTCTTGGATTTTAATATTCTACTGATTTGGGACATTTGTACTGTAGATAGAAAGTGTGATCTTTAACAGTTTAAAACAAAAGAATTTAAGAATTAGATGCAATTTCATAGTTCTTAGTTATGGCGCTAATAATTTGTGGTATGCAACAAATTTAACTCCCTGTAATTTTCAATGCAGTTTGGAAAAGCTTGGCAGTGCATGCTTCTGCTCTGTAATTCATGCATTTATAATTAAAGAAAGAATCCAAAAGTATTGCATATTGTGCAAAACATGGTTAGAACTGACAATATCTGTTTTCTGCACAATAATATGAATGTATATTATATATATTTCATGATCTATTGAAGACTGAATAGAAAGTTTACTAGTCTTTTTTCTAGTTTCTTCTTTTTACATGGAAAAAAAATTACCCTTAATTTGAATGTCATGTTCTCTAATCACAGGATATAGCTCCTGAGCCTAAGTGTAACAAGGACAACAATGAAATCACTTCAAGGAAATATATAAAAATGTTTACATAAACTGAATGGATAATAAAAGCAGTTTGAGGATTAGAAGAAAGAAAGAAAGAAAAACTAATTCCAAAGAGGTTTGGAAATGAACAATGACAGTTATATTGTCAGAATTCAAAACATTGGACCAGCTAAAAATAAGAGAACCTGCAGAATACCCTAGCACAGTTGTCCTTGTAGAATTCATTTATTTCCTTTCTCATTATAGAGAAGGAAGATGGGCATATTCTAGGCCTGTGTTTTTTGGTATTTTCAGGCACCAGATTCTTGCCGATGTGACTTCCAAGAGCAACCAATTCACATTTGTTCCATTTCCATCCAGTTTTACTTGTAATGACTTGGAGATATATACTTCCCATGAGTTTTACTTTCCTCTCCATTCGATAAAGTATTTAAAGATACTAGGTAGATAATGTGCTGCGCATATGATTTTACCTAGTACATACAAATTCTGTTTCACCCCGTTTTCCTTTGTGTGTCACACGTATAATATCAAGAAGTTAAACTATTCACTGTTACTTCAATTATGTATTTAATTCAAGAATTATTCATTCTGTGTTTATTATGTGCCAGGCACTGTGTAGATACTTAGCAAATAGTAGTGTTCTTGTGTTTTGTAACTAATTTGTTTGTTGTTTCAGGAAAAAGAAACTTTTAGAATCAGAATTAGAGCATAGGCACTGTCTGGCTAATTCTAAATGTTACTGAGCTTTTCAACAACAAATTATGTTTCCTTCCCAGTTTTTGTTATAAGAATATGATTTGTGTGTGCATGTTTCAAGTTAAATTATAGGACTGCTTTACTTTAGTCTTAAAAATAGCAAATAAATGATAAATGAGCTTCAGGCAGTCACGACATGGGCAAGGCCATAATAATTTTCTCCAGAGCAGAACTGCCTAATAAATCTTAATTTTGAGTAACCACCAACTAAGAGGCCAGCTTCGCTTATACTACAGCTTATGCCAATGTCTTAGAAATTAGATCAAGCCCAAAGAATTAAAAGCAAAATTTACCAAATGAAAGTTGAAATTCTTTGATAAACAAAAATTTCCATTAAATAGTAAGACAATATTTACATAATATAATAGCTATATGATCATACTTTTTGTTACATATCTTTTCTTTTGCATTAAGAAGTTGTTAAAGAGAGAAATGTCATTCTTAAAGAAGTTAAGATGTGTGCCTTCACGTATGTCTACAAGTTTTATGTGAAATAATTCTAACTTTGTGAGCGTACATGTTTCACAATAGTAATAGCACCAAATTTAACTTTCAAAGGGATAAATATATTTCAAGCTATTTCAAGAACTGAAATATAGGTGAAAATCCTTTGTAGACTAGTAATTGAAAAATGACAATTTAATGTCCCATCCCCAATTTTTGTCATAATGAGTCTCAAGTCCAAACTTTTAAAATTATTGACTAAATCATTGTGTAAGGTGCTAGATCTTCTAGTTGTCAATCTGAATACAGGTCAGTATTTTAGTCAGTGAATGGAGAACGTCTCTTAGAATAAAGAATGTGCTGAATCATATGGCTGAACCTTGTAGTCACTGGCTGAAGAGTAGTTGGGAATGATGATAAATTGTGACAAAATATTAGCGTTTTTTTAAAGAGCTCTAGAGAGATTGTTAAAAATAGGATTTATAATTAGTGAAATACAACTTTTGAAGGAAAAATTTTTAATGTGTTGATTTTTCTTCTAACACGTGAGATTGAGGTTTCAAAGAAAAGTCAGTGGTTAGAAAAAAATGTGATTTTGACAATGATTGAAGAATTTAGATCAAAGTACAAAAGCTCACCCAAATATAACTACAGGGAATACTATTTCCTTCTTGTTTTTCAGACTGTCCCAGTTTTCACTTTATGTACCTCACACAATATATTAGATCCTCTCTTTCATTCAAATTGCCTTCATATTGCACTAGCTATAATTTGTAGTTTTTACCACAAAGCCATTCTCCCTGGCATCTTTGCCTTTTTGTTGTTGGGTTCTTTTTCTCATTAAGGTATCAGTACACCGTGCCTAGTGAGACAACTGTTGATAAGATAAAGAAAGTGCTGCTCATGAGTGGCATGAGTATGTTACAGTTAAGAATTTTTACTTTTGCTCAGTCCCATAAACATAATAACATTTAATATGAGAGATATATAAATAGAACAAGTTTGAGGATCTCAAATTACTTTTGCAAGTTAAAAAAATTTTTAGTTAGAAATTTGAGAAAAGGCCAGAATCAGCGGCTCATTACTTATATCACCCCTGTGGTAACAGGTTTCTCTGGGAGACAGTGTTTCCATAATAATATCAGTTATTGGTGAGTTGGACATTTTCTTTAATAAGATTCCTAAGGCCATCTATTCGGGGAAGAATCTTGCCTGCTACTGTTTACCTCATGGACTGACAAGCTACAGAAACTCTTAGACCCTAGGAATGAATTATAGACATATTTCTTCTGAAGAGATCAATTGTTTGAGCACTATAAAAACCAAGACTATTATGTTAAATAGTGGTACAAAACCATAATATTTATAACTGAAATGAACCAAACTACTTGAAAGCTCTGTGTGTATGTAATTGCTGATCTGCTCTTTCAAATGGAAATATTGATGTTCTTATTATAAATATTGCATTTCCTATGTCTATAGAATGGTGTGTTTATTGTCTTAACTTGATTAATTTTCATCTTATTTATACTGAATTTTAAAACTTAAATGGTTATTTTAAAGCAATAATTGTATTAGAGAAATGGGCTTTTTAAAAAACATAATGTTCAATGAAGCAAGTATGAGTGAGGTAAATTATTTACTTTCAGTTTGGAAGAGGTGAATTATAAGTGCTTGGCCAATACCGTACCATTAATCTATTCTCTTTTCTTCTTTCTCTCTTTACTTCTCTCTCTCCAATAGAAGTGGAACAAAAAGGTAATTAAATACCTTTCCTAAATTATATACTATTTATAGGCTAAGTTATTTAACAGTTTAACATTTAGTTAAAATAATTTTGTTATTAATTCTGATCTATTTTATGAGAATTGATTTACTACTTCTGCTGCTCAACTTCACTTTAATCTGTTACTGACCAGTGCTGGTTTGATCTTCTTCCTCTAACACAGTTTCATATTGTGAAATTTTCAACACTGTATTTTATTCCTCTTTATTTTTAAAAGAAGTAGTTAGAAGTCCAGTAAATGTGACAAATAGTTATTGGTTTAGATTTATTTCTATTTTTGTACTGGGTAATTTTGCATTGCTCTGGTGTGCATTAATTTTTAACTATTAGGAGAAGAGGGAGATTTTTTTAAAATATACTATATTAGTAGCCAACAGCTGATCATTAAGGATAAAACAAAATTATATAAAATTTTGACACCAAAGGGTAACTATTCTTTTCAATGAAAGTGATCATGAAAAGATCCTGAGAAATTCTTATAGTCATGAATATTTTTTTATTTTTTTTATTGATTATAATTTGGCAATGGCCCTCTCTATGTTTATGGACTATTTTCGTAACCAGCTTTCTCTTACATTCTATTTCCTCAAAAGTAGAACTTTGGAAATGCTAGTCATGTACATTCTCTTTCTATAATCTCCAAAACCTAGCTGTTGCATCTTACAGTTTTCCATTGGATCTGTGCTTTTCATTGCTATTAAAAAGCTAATCACTAATGTTGAAAGAATAATCTTTCAATCATTAAAAAATGGGTCATTGTCTAAATTCCTGGTGATTGCCCAGTTTCTCATGCAGTACTTCTAATCATTTCAAACATACCAGTAGACTGCATGATGAGTTTTCAGCGTGTTTGCCTTACAAATATATTAGAGCAGTGTTTCCCACAGCAGGTTCAGCGGAATGCCACAATCCAAAGAGGCTCCTTGGAAAAGATTCCAAGATCAAATGAGCTTGGGAGATTCACTCCCCCTCCCAACTCTGCCTTGGAGATTCACTAAAGTACCTCAGCTATTTCAATCTCTGCCACAATTATACTTAATGCGACATTTCTTCAACAGTGTGGCTCTAGCTTCCTTTTTTTTCTTTCTGTGAAACATCTCGTTATACCACTTGAAACAGTTCTTCAAGGACCACCCTTTGGGAAACATTGCTTTATAGCTCCTTCGTTTCAGATGAGTCAGCCAAGCTTCTTTACCACCACTCACATATGTTACTGAATCACACTGAGAAGCGAGTGAGTCAGAGGATCCCTACCCGCTTTCATTCTGAAGTATGAGCAGCAAAATAGAGCAAGCAATCTTGTTTTTTAATGCTTTTCTCATGTAACAGTAAAAGGTACATGTTTTTAAGTTCCAATACTACTGTATTTAACAGGACATTTTTAACTGATTAAAAATCTAGCACTTGGGTTCTTTTCTGTAACTTTACACCTTTTCTTCTTTCCTTATTCCTTCTTTCCTTTCTTTTCCTTCCTCTCTTTTTTCTTCCAGTATCCATCCATCACTCATTTTTAATTGTGTGGGTTGCATGCTTTGTGTGTGTTGTAGCAGCTTCAAGAGCTTTGTTTACTAGAAGATTCAGTGGCCTGTTTTCCAGAACTTTTTCTTTATTTAAAAAAATATTGTAGGAAACCCATCTGTTTCTTAAGGATAACTGTCAAAAAGATAATTCTGTCAGAGTGGAAACAATATATTTTCGTATCTCAAAAACTGATATATTTTTCAATGAACTAACAAAAATATTGTTTCAAATTTTGTTTTAAATATTATGCTTTAAATAGTGAACTTTTGTATTTGTTGTATGTCTATAGAATGTATAGACATGCTACACTTTATAGATATATCCAAAAAATAGTATAATGACATGTTTACAAAGGTAAAAACCCACAGGAAAGCAAAACTACTCATAAAAAGGCTAAACTTGTTTTCTGTAAAGGAAATCAAAATGATTTAGAAAAATAGCCAGAATTGACATGGACAAAAACATTGTGTTCTCAAAAACAAGCAGCGAAATAAGGTGGTGGTGGTGGTGGGTGTCTCTTGTTATATTTTCATCCTGTTTGGTGGAAAATAAGTATATATGAAAGAATAGCAAATTAATATATTTATTGTTTTAATTCTTTCCCTTCCAACAGTTTTTCTTTGTCCCGGACTACTCAAAGGAGTGTACCAGAGCGAACATTTATTTGAGTCTGACCACCAGTCCGGGGCGTGGTGCAAAGACCCTCTGCAGGCCTCTGACAAGATTTACTACATGCCCTGGACTCCCTATCGAACCGATACCCTGACTGAGTATTCATCCAAAGATGATTTCATTGCTGGAAGGCCGACGACCACCTACAAGCTCCCCCATAGAGTCGACGGCACAGGATTTGTAGTATACGATGGAGCCTTGTTCTTCAACAAGGAGCGCACCAGGAACATAGTCAAGTTCGATCTGCGGACTAGAATAAAGAGTGGAGAAGCAATCATAGCGAATGCCAATTACCATGATACTTCCCCTTACCGATGGGGAGGAAAATCTGACATAGACCTGGCAGTGGATGAAAATGGGCTGTGGGTAATCTATGCAACAGAACAAAACAATGGGAAAATTGTCATTAGTCAATTGAACCCTTACACCCTACGGATTGAAGGGACGTGGGATACTGCGTATGATAAAAGGTCAGCTTCCAATGCGTTTATGATTTGTGGGATTCTGTATGTGGTCAAATCTGTGTATGAGGATGATGACAATGAGGCTACTGGGAATAAGATTGACTACATTTACAACACCGACCAAAGCAAGGATAGCTTGGTGGATGTACCCTTCCCCAATTCATACCAGTACATAGCAGCTGTGGATTACAATCCCAGGGACAACTTGCTTTATGTGTGGAATAACTATCATGTCGTGAAATATTCTTTGGATTTTGGACCTCTGGATAGTAGATCTGGTAAGTTTGACTTTTAACAGTTTTCTACAGGGAAATACTGCAGCTTGCTTTTAATAAGTTTTTTGTATGTTTTGATTAGACTTTCTTTGTGGTCTTTCATCCAGCCTATGTACTTGAAAGATCATGCATTGTCTTGCCATTTTAGAAGGATTGAAGGTAATCTCTGTCAGATCTAAACATGTATCCACAAGAAATTGACTCTACCCTTGCGCAACTTGACTCCATGGTGGAGCCCTTCTTCTTTCTGGGGTATTTGTGATTGTAAGCTGGTTGGTTGTTTGCACAGGGAAGAACACAAAACCTGTGCTGAGAGTTCCGTCCCTTGTAATTCATTGGGAAACACCCTCAAAAGCGATCACCACTTGGAACATGTCTGAGGGTTGCCATGGCATAATGCTGCAGCGTGCCACAGGACGCCACTGTGGGAAACAGCGTCCGCTTGAGGGTTCACAGGTCTGAGGGAACCTACTTAATACATTGAGAAAATGCCCATGACTGATAAGTACAAAATATCCCAGTTTTTATAAGCAATGATAATGCAAAACAGTTTTGAGCTCGCTTGCAATAATCTTTAATTTTGATTCTCTAAGTGTCCATTTCCCTGCTGGAACAGACTGTTTGATTTTAATGTTGTTTAAAGAGACCCATAAATAGCTTTTAATTTTTTTCTTTTCTATTTACACAATTGAGTGGGCTTAGCTTCATTTGAAAGTTAAATTTTGTAACAGGCCATAGTAATGCTGTCCAAGATAAAATATAGTGTAAAATTAAGACAGAGGTGTCTGAATTTTGGTAGAAATAAAACAGTTCCAAGAATGAGTTATTGCATTGGTGGAATAGTGGTAAGTGTAGCTGCCTTCCTAAAATGAATTATTTTTATCAGTTAAAATTCATTTGTTAATATTTTGTATTTTCTGAATTTATTATTTTCTTCATTTTTGCCAGACTTTTGCTAGCATACTATTCTGCTTTCTTAGTCCATTATATTATATACACAATTTTTAAAGAACTAGATTCTAAGTTTTTTATGGCCAATGACTTTGCCCTTAGAAATATCCCTTAGATATACTTATCTAACCGGTATTTATTTTCTCAGTGCCAGTGTAATATATTACAAATGCTAATAGTTCTTTGCTGATTGAATGAATCGATTCCTACTCTTCTGCAGGTAGAATGACAGATTAGGTGGCATTTTCTATGACCTATGAAAGGCTAATTTTGACAACACTTCCTTCCACACCTCCTCCCATAACCAGCAATGCTGTTCATGCTTTCAATCGTCTTCTATGGAAAGAAAAGTGTAAATATGCAATGGCATCAAAAGCCACTTCTTATTAAGTCTCCAAGAAAAATCTCTTAAACCAGCTACATCATCTGGTTCCCCATCTACAGCAAAGGTTTTAAACTCAGGTCACTGCAGTTGAGAACCTAAACAAGAATCAGTCATTTTTAGTCAATTAGGAAAAGTGTGATTTCATAATGGTGATATTCTTAAACCAAAATTTATATTTTACCAGTAAATACCCTACTTAGGAATGTTTTTTAGCTTTTTTGGCTCAAACGGAATAGGAAGTCATTGCTAATGTCCCAAAAAGAAATTATAATATTGTATTTTACAATTAGAGAATAAAGGAGTAATGACATTTCAAATCTTGTTTGTTTAAAAGACCATATATTATTTTTATTTAGATAGTAGGTTTAAATTTTAACTGAGGTGTTAACTCAATAAGCTAAAGCAAATTCTCAACTCAGATTTTATAATCTATCCTTAAAGAGAAAGATGGTGCCATGACTCATATGTTTAGAGACTTACCAAAAAATATTTCCAGCATATACTAATAAACTTACAAATATATATACACTCTAATACATATATATGTGCATATACTTTGTCTATGTATATTTTTATAATTATATATAATATTAGAAATATGGATCTTTGATCATTATGGACATGAGGAATATTATACTAGTCATCTTACTTTATCTGTTTAACTGTATATGGGAGTTAAATTATGGCCATCTTGCCCCCAGGCATTAGTGCTCTTATTTGTTTGAAGGGTGTTATTGAAATAGCAAACACTGAGAAATAAATTTCAGCTTTTTTTTTTTTTTTTGCTTTTGTTTTTTGGTTTTTTCCCCTGGACCAGGAATCGAACTGATGATCTTGCACTTAGCAGGCAGGCGCTGTGCCGCTGAGCTAAATCCCCAGCCCCTTAAATTTCAGCTTTTAATTGAATTCTTTGGTCAGGAAATTCAGTTTTTGCTCTTTTTGAAAAATCACAATTAAGACCTTGTCTGCTTTGCAAATACTGAGATTTCGCCTGTTTTACATTTGTCAATATAATCACCGAAAAAGGTATCAATTAGCGTGCATGAATGCGCAAATTAAAAAGCTGGTACTTTGGCATGGACTTATTTCAGTTTGGAGGGGGAAAGAATAAATGTAGAAGTAAATTTTATGCATGCTATGTGGGAATATGTGGATTTCAATTAGCGTTAATAGAGGCTGTTCATCTTATTCCACACAAACAGCTCTAGCTGGGTGTTTTTCTGTAGTAAATTATGGTGACACTTTTCAGAGCAATTGCCTTCAGTGAATTCTGATTGCTATTTTATTATGGATCTTCCTATATGTCTATGTACATAAACCCTGAACTTAAAGCCAATATTTTAGAGTCAAAAACTTACCTAAGTCTGAGTTCCAAAAATGTATTTGTTGCTCCCATCTGTTGGTAGTAGTCTGTCTTTTTCCTGTAATAACAGGATTCCATTTTTTAAAATCATAATGTTTACGTTTTGACGTGAAGGGTTACTTATGTCCTGCGTCTGCTGTATGTAATTATTATGTATATCAAAAATCTGTTACTGCAAGATAGAAGGTAAATACCCTTCTCCTGGGTAAATAAAAGTCTTCTAGAGATGCTTACATATCGTTAACATCCACTTCAGATGCGAACGAGGGAGTCTGCAGGGCCCGGGCTGGCATGCAGCCCGCCAGGCACTTGTTGGACTGAGCTGTTGCCTCAGCTTCTTGGTCTTGGATATCTCAGCTATAAAGTGGGGAGGGGGCTGGGGATTTAGCTCAGCGGCAAAAGCGCCTGCCTGGCAAGCGCAAGGTCGTGAGTTTGGTTCCCGGTACCAGAGAAAAAACAAACAAACAAACAAACAAACAAACAAAAATATAAAGTGGGGAGACAGCCTCTGCCTCGGAAGATTGCTGTTAATTGTTAATGAGCTAGTACCTATAGCAGGCATAACAAGTAACAAACCTATCCTAATAACTGCACCCCAGCTGTACTAAACGACTACCATTATCCATATTTTCTAAATGAGGAACCTAAAGCATGGTAGCTCTTCCGACTTACACAAAAAGGGCTCTTAGTGCTAAGCATTGTCGAGATAGAACGCCATTTGTAGTTTGTGTAGATCATTACCATGGATTTGTGCTTCAAGTATTGTATCTACTCTTCAACCGTGAAATCGGATGTCCTAATTTGTTTTGCTTTTGTTTCTGCAAAGGTCGTTTTTAAAGTCTGAATGATAAACGTTGAAGAAGAATCTGAGGAAAAACTTAGCTTCTCAGATATATTCTAAACGTGGTTTTAGAAGTCATTTGATACTAGTTCCCGTCTCCACACTGCAACAGTGTCACTTTGCCTGAAGTCGCTATCACTGTTAATTTGCTTTAGTCAATGACGTGTGTGTTTACTTTCTTTTTCAAAGGAAAAGATCTTGACAACAATATCTATGAAAAGAAATGAAAACAATAGCTATAAAAAGAAACTAATTTTCATTAAATCTTATAAACTTATATTTCAAATGTTGGTCGTACCCTGGAAATAATGTTTCTGCTGTAAATGATCCTTAAGCACCTTTTCTCTAGGTAAAGCTTTGGAAGCTTAATACTTATTTCTCATTGGGCTCCAGAAACATTATTTGCAAACGTAAGAAGCTCATCACTTATAATGCACTGTACGGAATACAGATTGGCAGCATTCTTGTGGTTTTTCATCCTGAAAGTCAGGGGAAACTACTCAGATCTTATTTTGGTGTTGCCATTAGTGTTCACATAGCAACATATTGACGAAAAATATTAAAATAAGGGGCCAGGAGTGTAGCTCAGTGGCACAGTGCCTGCCTGGCAAGTGCGAAGTCCAGAGTTTCCTTCCCGGTACCCCCGCCAAAAATTCTTAAAATGGATTAAAGACCTGGGAAATGTAACTAAGTGATATATCTCTTGCCTAGCATGCCTGAGGCCCTGGAGTTTAAACCCCATGACCACCAGGGAAAATAGTATTTTAGAGCTGATTAAACTTTGATTCACATGGTAAAAATGTCTTAGTCATTTTAGTCTACCATTTTTATAAGTACTCTATAAAGATTTGTTGAATGATTTTATAAATGAATGAATGAAATTATATTGTAAGCTTGCTTTTTCAGGGTTTTCTGAGAATGGGAGCATTAATGCTAAATTCATTTGCTGGGTTCATGCACACGCTCCTCAGGTAGTCGCATCACTGCGCAAAGCTCTGTAGCCTAGATTTTTTTTTTTTATGTCACTGTAGCCACACTCCAGAGTCCCTCTCCCCTACTCCCAACTTTTTCCCTTCTCCTCCCAGATTGTGGGGAGTTTTTGAAACCTCAAAGTAGTTTCGTGCGTGTTAAAGAATAGTGCCAGTGCACATTAACACCTAGTATACTTTCTTCCAGAAGTAATTGGAAGAAATGTAAAGTCACTAGTCTCACAATATAGAAGAAAGTGGACAACTGTTCAGACAAGTTTATATTAGGAGCATTTTTCCTGATTGTTCAGTTGGCAGATTTAGAGATCTCTTCAAGGCAACGCAGAGAAAATGGAAAGTGTACTGTATTCAGAATGGCACAATAGTTGTGTTCTACTGTAAAAATATTTAAAGAACTGGTGATTCCATTTTTGACACCTGTATGTATTAACCCTTGAACATAAAGGAAATATGAAAATATTCTATTTTTTTCTG